GTCCAACTCCCTGCAAAGCCGGGGCCAACGGTACGAAAAGAACAAAACGGAAAATGACTCTAAAACCCAAATGACGGGAGCAGGTAAGGTAAACACGATACGGTATTTTATTATGTTTTGGTCTTTTTAGTTGAATGCTAGATGAGGTTGCATCAACGATCTTACAGTCCCCAAGCATCTCTAGGGCCCTCTGACGCCCCCTAGACCGGCGAAAATATAGTGTAATTAGATTTAGGACGTTTTAAATAAAATTAACAAAATAAAACCGTTACAACTTTTTTTTTTATCAGAATCGTAATTATTTTGCCAAATTTTCTCAAAAATAAGTCGAAAAATCACTAATTTAGTTAAAAAAAAATAGTTTTATTTGTTTTTTTTTTTAAAGAGATTTCACTCAAAAAAATCGCTAAATTGTGTTCAAAAGTTTATTATTTTGGTCTTTTTCGGAACCCTTTATATGAGTAGTACGTTTTTCAACCAGAAACAGAACTACGAGTATTTTGTAAAATTTCGATAAAAACAAACCAAAAATTTACCAATCAAAATTGACGTTATTCTTGCATTTTTAGCGTACTTGAGTACTTTTTTTGTTATAAATATAAAGTTTAAAAAAAAATTGCTTCACCTTTCTCAAGTCCTTAAGCAGGTTTTTGATCTATAATCTAACAAACCAAAAAAATACCAAATCAAGTCAACATTTTTGCCTCTTTGAAATGTTTTTCAGGTAATAAAGTAAATATTTCACACAATTTTGACAAGACAAAAAATTACGAATTTGATCAAAAATAATGTTATTTTTGCTTTTCACGAGTTTTTGAGCAATGTACACCTTTGACAGCAATAGAAAAATTTAATCTGGTAATCTGGTGAAAATCCGGAAATTCTCTGAGCTCGGATCTGTTAATTTTTTTTTTTTTTGAGCTGGCAACACTACATTTCAATTAAATTCTATCTTAAAAAATAATACAACCCATTTGTCCAAAAGAAATGTCGAAGAAACATGGAACAGAAAGAAAGAAAATAGGAGAGATCAAGCACAAAAACCACTTTACCACTTTGTCGTTTTTAACGACAAATGTCACAAATTGTGAACATGACGTATCATTGTAACAATAAAAACGGAACACCCCTGTATATTACATCCGATTTTCTAACTCATTAAAAAATAATTGATTCTACTAGTTTTCTCATAGTTGAGTTGTAAAATTTTGTAAGTATTTACTTGGAGCATGGAACAGTTTCATAAATTCCAAAAGGAAATTATTTTTGGTGTCCTTTTAACTATTTTCTATTTATTACCACGTCTCCTCATGGACTTCAAGCGGGTGTTATACATTTAGGAATGTCTAATAACTAAAAATTCGGTAATTTTTATTTCTTTTTTGTGATATAATTCTTATATCTTTAAGCTTGTCCGATCTTTTTGACACACCTGATACATATATTTTTTTAATTAAATAATAATTAAATTAAAATAATTATTAAAAGTAAATACGAGGATTCAAAACAAATTTTGTAATAGGTATTTGTTCTTAATATTGTATCTCTATTTACATTTTTATTACTTTACATGAGAATTTTTTTTATGTCAAGTTTTCAAATTAATTTTTTTTGTGTTTGATTGTGCGTATTTTCTTTGATATACAAGGTGTGTCAGAAGAACTTGGAAAAAATGTTTAAAAAATTGTCTGTCGAAAAATTCTGACATTTATTTTTTGATATTTGACATTTTTTTTATGTTTATTTAATGATACTGATGATCTTGTATATGTTTTTTTTATAATTATTTAGTAAAGGTACAAAAATTTTGCCAATAAAAGCCACAAATCACATTACACAGTTACAATTTAGGAAATTATAGAAATTTTTCCAACAGAAATAGAGTCAGAGTGCAAAATTTAAACTCTCATAACTTCGAAACTCTTATAGATAGAATTTTTTAAATATTTTTTCCATGTTCCTGGTATATTGCATTTTTCCCTGGCGCATCCTGTTTACCTAATATTATGTAGTTATTTAAAGCAAAAGATTAAATAAAAAAGTAAACACTATAAAAAGTAATCACATACAGGTGCGCCAGAACCCGCGCCCCAGAGAAAAATTTCAAGTAAGATAAGATACCAGGAACATGAAAAATATGTTTAAAAAATTCTAACTGTCAAAATTTTGACATAAAATTTTTGACATTTGACATTTTTTCATGTCTCTTTAATGAGACTGATGATATCGTATATGTTTTTTTATAATTATTTTGTAAAAGTACAAAAATTTTGTAAAAGTACAAATAACATTAAACAGAGTTTCAATTTAGGATAGAGCTTCCTTGTATTCTCTTCTAATAGCCTGTAGCAAAAAAACTTGGAAAATTATTTTTCCAACAGAAATAGTCAAAGTGCAAAAATTTAAACTCTCATAACTTTTAAATTTTTATAGATAGAATTTTTTTAACATTTTTTCCATGTTCCTGGTATCTGGCATGTTTTTCTGGGGCGCGAGTTCGGGCGCACCCTGTATAATTAGAGCAAGTTTGAAATACTATTATTATAAAATGGAATAAACTCGTATAGTAAAAAACTTATGCAAATATGAATAATAAATAATAATAAATTATTTAATCAAGCACTGACTATAAAAAATAACATCAGTTTACTTCTATTTAAATTTGTAATTATTTAGATGTTTGTGGAAGTATTTGGAATTATTTTAGAATCATTGTTGTAAATGGAATTATGACCAGCGTTTTCCCACTCGGTGACAACCGAAAATCCTACTTACGACTTCTTGTACAATACTGATAAGTTCCATTAAGCGGCGTCTGAGTTGTGCCACTTCGTCCTTAATTTGGGTGACATGTTGTTCATAGACTTCGTCGAGAGGCTTGAAAGTGTGACCAGAGTGAGTGCCGCCCCATAAAGCGCATTGGTGGCAGATGCAGCACCGACACGTCCAACAATAGACGGACAGTTTCTCCGAATGTGTGGAACACCTGTCGCGAATATTAAACGTGTTTTGTGCTTTTTACCGACTTACTTGTCCCGGTCATTGTCGTCGCTTCTGCTGCTGTTCAAGTTGACGGCTTGGAGCGTATCGAGCTGTTGGGTGACCTCTTCGACCCAGCGACAGTTGACCAATTCGTGCAGATGGAGCGAGGCCCGGCAATGGGGGCACTGCGACCGCTGTTCGGTGAGCCACCGACGGATGCAAACGTAGCAACACAGCTTGGAGCAGTGCGGACACAAATGGGCGTCTCGCAGTTTCTCCATGCAGATGAAGCAGCGGAAAACCTCGGCCAGGGTCTGGGAACAGAGAAAGGGTGAAATGGCGACAAAAGGGGGCTTACTGAGTCGGAAGAGTTTGTGTAACAATCCATTTCTGCCGGAACTAGCGATTTTGAATCGACGTGACGGTTTTGAATTTTAGTTACGTTTGACACGGCAAGGCCTTGGAAACCGATTTTTTGAACAAAATACTAACCTCCACGCTTTGGTCGTCATGTTTGCTTCCGGGTTTGCTTCTAGTGGCCATTTTGCACTGAGAAGTACACTTTTTGGGGAGAGTTGAGGTGACTCGATCGGGTCAAATTAACATTGTTTCTTTACGCCGACGTCCCCATTTAACATTCCACTATTCAAAATACAGCGAACAAAGGAAAATACAGTTAGAATTTTGTGCGGGGGCAATCAACTGGTTTTTGACAGATGGCAGTTGTCAAAACACTAAGGGATGGCAGTGGATAAAGTCACATTTTTTTCTGGAGATTTTTTTAATACTAAATAATGTGTGCTTAACAAATCATTAAATATACATTTTACTATTAATTTAGCAGTTTTATTTTTTATCCTAAGAGTAGCCTTAAGTTTTCTTGTTAGAGTGGAAGTGGCTAAAATTACGATTTAAAGTGACCACAGACACAGTCTAGAAAATCATTGCAAAATTTTCAAAAACAATCATTAAAGTGTTAATTAAACAAAAAGTCCGATGTGGTACAAGAAATTGAGCAAAAAATCAGCTGTGGTAAGAAAAATTGGATTGTGGAAAAAAAAAACTAAAGTCAGGGTCAATTCAGAGTGGCCATATAATTTATTGCTAAGTTGGCAGCCCATGTTTAAAGTCGGATTTACACAGCTCAACTTTTTACATATCCACACAGGGAAATGGCCACGATTAGTTGACCACAAATTTAGACAAAAATATTGTTCTGTAAAAAATAACAAATTAAGCGAAAATTCGCTTGTTTTTATAAACATTGATTATTGGAAAAAAAAATTAAACAAAAAATCGGTTACGGTCACAAAATACGTAACAAAAAATCGCTCGTTGCAACAAATAATTGGACAATAAAATGGTTCCATAGAATATCAAATTGACCGAAGACAGTGTTTATTACGATCGTGGTTTTTAAAAAATTATCACTGGAACAAAAAAATTGACAAAATATAGTTTGCGGCAACAAAAAACTAGATAAAAAATCGTTCAGAGGATTATTCCTTGAGTAAATTCTTATGAACTTACTCAAAAATGAATGAAAAAGTTGCCAACAGTAGAAATTGTGTATGTAACTATTCTGAAATCAGTTAGGAACAAACAAATAAAACCAATTGAGATTTAATCACTTTATTTGTAAAATTAAAATAAACATTAACATAAAGTTATTAATCGTACATTCCCTAATTACGCAAAAATGCAAGACGATAAAACTATTGTGTTCAGCTTGCAATAAACTTATCCCTAATCTAAACCGTACAATTTTAAAGTCCTGTCCATGGAAGTAGACGCTATAAACCTGGCATCTTTACCAAATCTAACACCAGTCGCTGCAGCCGTATGGTCATTAAACACTTTCAATTCCTGCCATTGCTTACAGAAATAAACTCTGCAACAAGAAAAAAACACATTTAACACAAATTAAAACAAGAAAACTATAATTTACCTGACGTCAGTCCCAGCCACAGCCAAATACGTGCCACTCTGGTCAAAACACAGATCCTTAATCTGGTAATCCTCATCCAACTGCAATGTTTTAAAATTCCTCACTTTCCTCAAATCCCACAACTTGACACAAGCATCATCAGCAGTGGCCATATAATACCCGTTCTCTGAGAACGAGATGGCAGTGATAGCCCCCGTGTGTCCCGTGCAAGTCGCAACATTGAGTTGTTCCTTCAAATCCCAAATCTTCACCTGGGAATTCGCCGTTCCCGTACCGAAAATGAGCCCGTCGGGATGCAACTGAGCCGTCGTGAGTGGAATATTAGTCTGATCGGAGACTTTCGTCAACAACTCCCCTGTTCTGATATCAGAGAACGCCCAATGTTGGTCCTCCGAAGCCGACAAGACATAGTCTCCAGTCGGATGCAAAGACAGCCCGGTAATAGGCCCCTCATGGACACGTAACAATAAAGTAGTTTGCGATGTTGGCACGTTCCACACGCGAATTGTAGAGTCAGGTGACGCGGTAATAACAAGGTCTTCATCGGGGTGGTAAACCACTTTAGTGACCTTCTTAGTGTGCCCTTTAAGAATCGCCACAACTTGTTCCGTGTCTTTGTTAAACACAGTTGCGTTGCGATCATTACCACCAGTGAGGATTTTACTCGTGTCAGAATTGTGTACGTCAAGGGCCAAAATCCCGGGGACACTCGCCGAATGCAACCCCTGAAACAACCAAAATCAGTCATAACTCCCCCAAAAGGCGAACAAACCGGATGCGAGGCCAAAGTCTTGAACCCCCTCAACTGTTCAGGCGTGGACACCTCCTCAGGCACCGTCTTGCTCCTCTTCTTCCTCTCCTGGGTCAACACAGTGGCCTTGTCTTGGAGCTTCTCAATCACTTCATCCGTCATTCCGCCTTGTTCGGTCGGTTGGTTGGCGACTCCGCCCGCTTCGGCGGCCACGGCCGGCTGGGGCACTGTTATGATGCCCGCTTGGGGCTTCAAGGTGGCCAGCGCTTCCCTGGCGGCCGTCACCTCCTTGTTGAGTCGCGCAATGACGCGACAGGCGGCGTCGTGTTGGTACAAAGCGTGGCTCAACTCTTGGCGCGCTGTCTGCAGTTGTTGTCGTTGTGTGAAACTGTAGAGCATAACAGCGTCCCATTCGTCTTGCAACAGTTTCAACGTGGCTGGGATACTAGTGGCGCTAGGCGGCTTCGGTTTTACTATCGGGGGGGCTGTATGGCGGTTAAAACTGATCCAATTAAAAGCACTACTTACTTTTTATTTCAATTAGTTTGTCCACGGTGAGTTCTTCACCGCTGATGGGGTCCTTGCCATGCTCTTGGATGTATTTTTCGATGATGCGTTTCTCGAAAATCGCACCCGAGGAAGGGGACACCACCGGGTGTTCCGGCACCTCGTTTGAAACTAAAACCAACGGAAATAAATACTCAAGCTATGCGAAATTAAAGTTCTAGTCATTACTAAACTTCAAGTAACGTTTTATTTAGTTAAAAAAGCATACTTTATTCAGAAATGGAATAAAAAGAATACTTACGGGCACAACACAACGCCATTTTCGTATAACCTAGCGTGTTGTCAGAATTGCCAACTTAAAAAATCGAAAAACACTAAAAATTTTCTTTGTTTATGCAACTCATAAAACAAGGGCGTTTTACTGGTCACTAATTCATAACAAAATTTAAACCAAATTAAGTTTTATTTTTCTTATTTAACATATATTGCTCAACATGATGTTTGGCAATAGTGTATAAAATCGAGTGTTTCCTAACAGCATTACTAACAAGCGCCCTTCTATAACATTTCAATAGTGACAAATCCTCTTCATTTGGTGTCAGAAATATGTCTAAAGGACACAAACTTTGTTCTTGTGTCACGTTAAAAATTTCAACAACACCCATATATTCCGACCACAAAGTTTTGCGCCACTTTAATGAATGTCTTTGGGCCAAAGGAATCAAAATGAAGTTTCCAAACAGTACGTCTCCATAACTCACACCTTGATACTGTTCTAGCAACTGAATATAAAAATCTTGAAAACTTGTAAGACCTGAAAAACTATGTTGCCAAAACCGTAGAAAATTTCACACCTCACCTTGAATTTCCTTATTGAAATTAATCTCATTTTCATCTTTCATAAGATTGCCAAGACACAGCTTCAATAAACTGTGAATCTCATCAATTAGGAACAAGTTATCGCTACCTAGAAAAACACAAGCGATTCTGCAAAACCGATCAGTGGGGTTTATCGCAGCCGCCAATTCGGGAAAATAACTTTCGTAAATTAAAACCCATCTCAAACAATTCCGAATCACGAAAACTTGTTCAACTTCTGCTTGATTTGTTTTATTTTGTTGCTGGTTCGAATATAAGACGATTATGGGAGTGTAAATCCAATCAATTGGGATTACATTCCCTTTACTGTGGTCCAAACATAAATTTGTGGTAAAACGCGGAACGTCCTGTGGAAAATTCCTAGAATTCGGTAATTTACACCAAAAACTTACAATTTTCAAACCCAAAACTTGTATATACACTTGCAAAATTTCGTGTAAATTCCCCAGCGACGTTTCTAGACAATCGTGTCTTTGCTCAATACTCAAATTTCTCATGAGGACCTCACTGGGGTAAAACTCCGGACTAAAAACAACATTCTCGAGAATAAACTCAATACTTGGTTTATGATCACAAGTGAAAATGCTCAAACAGTTGACTGCAATTTCGTAAAAAGGCCGAGTATCCAAGTCAGCTTTCACGACTAGGGAAATCTTTAAAATATTCATAATTAAATCGCTCTCAACCCGCGTAAACCAATTATCGCTCAAATAGTACTTATCCAAGCCTCTTAACGAATCCAAATACTTGGTTACGTTTTCATGACGCAAAAAAGTTAATTTCAACTTGTAATCGTTTGAAGCCTCGATGAAAAACGACAAAGACGCCAGAAACGGAATCGGACTGTTTGTTTGCACCAAAGGCACGACATGTTCAAAGGTGTGCCAAGCCGCAGCTTCCACACTCTTGATATTAGCACTGGTTTTATGCGGTTCGTAATTATTCAACAACATTGAAGCATTACTAAAAAAAAGTTATCACACCAAAAAAATCGCAATGACCACTTACGTAACACTCTGAGTGACCATTTTAAAACCATCTGAATCCAATAATTGCACAATTAGATTATTAAAAACTTGGGGGAGCTCCAGCAATTTTGAGAGTGAAGCAAGACAGTGTAACATTGAGGCCACAATTTGGAGTTTACCGCACTAGAAAAATAATTTAATTTTTGACATAATTAATACTTGACCAAGGAGCCGTTAACACTGAAATTAGTTGCACAAATTTTTGGAATCCAATCAAGATTGTTTGGAATTATTTGGTATTGAATTATTATATTAGGCCGGATAATTGAGATTGCACTGTACAAGAATTCATTTTGGAATTCCTAATGTTTTTTTGAAATTATCGAAGATAATTTTCTTTTTCAAATTTCTTAAAATTATTGGAATCAATTTGGAATTTCAAGAATTAATTGGAGATATAAAAATTAATCTGTAAATAATGGAACTACGATGCATTGGAATTACTAGAATTTGAGTGGAATTTTTGTGAAATTACTGAAATTATTTGTGATTTTCTAGAAGTGCTGGATTTTTTGAAATCATCGGAGATAAATTCTTTTTAAAATTACGTTAAATTTCTTGGGATTATTGGAATATCAGAAATAATTTATAATTACAGAAATTATTTTGGGATTACAAATGTTAATTACTGGAATTTCTGTGGATTTTTTTTAAGTTAACGGTCCCTCGTGACTTACAGCAAAATCAGTCAAAGTCATAAATTGACTGAACCATTTCCTTGCACAAGTCTCAAGTGTGCTCAAGTAGGAGGCTACCAAATTCGAATTTTGACTACATGAACCAATCAAACCCACTATAGCGGCCACGTGACCCTGTCTGACGTACGTCGTACTCATATTGGCATCAGTGTTTTTCAAATGGTAATTCAACATTTCCATTAGGACAGGTTGGCAAACCCTAGAAAAACAAAGTGAGACAAGTCCACAAAACTCTGAAACGTACTGAAAATAATCCCACGTTAAGTTATAGTGGATAAAAACGGACCATAAGTGCAAACTTTCAGTCTGCAATTTTAAACCGTTGGTATTCATGGAGTAATTTTCGTGTGACAAATACGTCAAAATGGCGTCCATGACTCGGTACTTCCCCACCAAGTCCGAGACAATTGTTTGACTACGAGTTGCCAAAATTCGTAAAAATTTCACAGCTTGTAACAAAGGACAACCATAGGGTGAATTATTTGGTTGTATCGTATTTGGGACAAAATTCTCAACAATACTTGAAACTAAATTCTCGCATTTGTAGACTTTTGTTAAAATAAATTGCGAGTCGCGTGTTAGCCGAGTTAGGATGTCCATACAGTAAACTATAGTTTCAATAGACGGTTTCACTGTATTTATAATGTATCTAATTCTGGTCAAAATCTCAGTTCTTGCTAGACATTTGACTAAATTAGTTTCGGCTAATTGTTGGTCATTTACTCTATCGTCGTCTTCATCATTGTCGATGGCTAAAATGGGTTGGATTTGACCTAACCCAAAACCTAGGAGACAATTCAAACAAGTTTCGTCGACTTTGCTATAAAATAAGTTTCTCATAGCCTTAATCGCAGCGTTTAAAACCCCAGGGGTGTTATCGTCCAAGCAGAAACGCAAAACAAAGAAAATCTGCTCAAGGGGCAAGTCAATAACGTCGTCATACACCCCCGTTGAGTGTAAAGACAGTATATTAGCAATAGTGTTCAAGGCGGTAATTTTTTGTTGGTTTACATTGGACCTACAATGAGAGATTAATTTTTTACTATTGTTATGAAATTTTAATACCGTGATAATTGAAACAGTTCCTGTAAGGTGTACCCAGGCCTGCCGGCTTCTTCTCCATGATGGTACAAAACCCTCGATTTCTCACTTATTTCTTCAACGTATGGTAAAACCCAGCCTTCAAAGTCAAATCTTTAAACAGCGTTGCAGCTCCTCACTTATTAAATATTTACCTGGCTTCGAAGCTTTTACTTTTATCTATTTTCGGGGTCTCTACATTCCTCATCCATGCTAATTTCCCCGTTTCCACCGTCGTGAAATTGAGCCACTTTTCGACTTGTGGTTGTTTTAAAATCTCACTCGCTGTTTCAATTTCCTCAATTTCCATACTCTCACCCGCTTGGTTCTGTTCCTGGATTGTTGGGGTTCGGTTCGTGTCTTTGCGTCGACGTGATTTCAAAAAAGCTATAAGTGCGGGGTCCATAGTGGACATAAGTCGCTCCCGCTCTTCCAAAATCTCTTCCTCAGACATGCTTTTCATCTTCTGGATGTTCTCACTGTGGATAGAGTCACGTTCGCTGCCACTCAGGACAAAACTTTGGGACGGAAGCGACACCTCTGGGACAGGTTTCGGGGGGTCTTTCCCCATTTTCAACCTTTTGAACTGTCTCGCGAAAATACTACCACCATCGTTGGAGGCTTCAGAACTGGCGTCGCGACGCTTGGGCTTTGGAAAACCGCCACTTGTGTTGAAATTCAACTGGGGTAAGGGAGACTTCTCCGGGTGTTTTTCCACGATTTTTCCCAGATTTTTCGGGTCGGGAATTGCTTCAAAAGTGTTAGCGATTTGGTCATGGATGTCTGAGGCACAAGCATCTTCAACAATCGGAGGCTTTTGGTCTAAAATAACAGTTCAGAGTAAATTTAAAAAAATAAACAACCTAACCTTTCTTTTCGCTGACTACAGTCGCAGCTAACTTGATTTTGTTCTCAGATTGTTGCCGGTTGAATTCTTCCTGCAAACGGAGCAAATCTTCTTCGGTTTCACCCGGTTTTGGTCTTGCATACATTATTTAATTGTTTGTTTAAATAAATTTTAAATAAATCGTACGATTTTAAAATATTTTTGTTTCCATCATCACAACTTAGTGGTTTTTGCTTTGCTGGGTTGGCTCTTTGAAACATAATTTAATTAAAATATGAAAAATCACAAGTATTGTTAACAAAACAAGTCAAAAAATACACAAGTAAATGTACTGAAATTTAAACTATTATGCTTGAAACAATTTTTGTTGTTGCGAAATTCACACAAATTGGTTTAATTTAGTGATATTATTTTCTGCTATTGGCAACATTGTTGACGCTAAACTTGCGGCAAGTCAAAGTTTTCGAGTTTTATTCTAATTCAGGAAAAATTGATAAATTCAGTGAAATTTGTTCATTTTGCGATGGCTTCTGCATATAAATTATCGGAAGGGGCCCTAGAGGTACATTTTCGTGGTAAAAACCTTTTTCAAATGTGTTCTTTTTCAGGTCATTATGAATGGGGGTAATGTCTTTGAACCCGTAATGCAAATTTTGGGGAGTAAAAAAATTGCTTCTAAAGGTAGCGAACGCTTTCGTTTACTTCTTTCCGATGGTTTACATCAAGTAAATATCGCGTTGTACACTGTACCAATGAATAATCCCTCTGCGGCGGATGCTTTAGAGATATTTTCAATTATTAAATTGAAGTGCTATCATTCTAACGTTATCAAAAGCAAGGATAAGCAAGACACGTAAATATTGATACTATTTATTTAAAAATTTACATTATTTTGATAATTATAGGCGAATTATTATGATTTTGGAACTAGAAATGATTGCTAGGGGAGAACACGTAGGTCAAATAATCGGAAACCCTGTCACTATATCCGAACCCCCAACTTCACAAACAAGCGATATTGATATTAACAAGAGAAATAGTTCCGTAAATGACTCGTCCAATTCAAAAATCACCCCCATTGCGTGCTTGAACCCTTTTCATAATAACTGGATAATCAGAGCAAGAGTCGTTAATAAGACTAATGTAAAAAACTGGTGTAATTCTAAGGGTGAGGGCAAGCTTTTCAGTATGGATTTGGTCGACCAAGGGGGTGAGATCCGATGTACGGCATTTAAGGATCTTGTGGACTTGTTTTTTGACCGACTTGAGGTGGTTTACCCTTTTTTACCCCAAATATAACATAAAAAATTGAAATTCTAGGTGGACAAAGTTTATTATATTAGCAAATGCCAATTAAAGCCAATTAACCGGCAATTTTGTTCCTTAAAACACCAATTTGAGATGGTTTTTACCCCGGAAACTATCGTCGAGGAGAGTTTCGACGATAACGAGATAATCCCTCAAATAACTTACAATTTTACCACAATTGATAAAGTTGCGGTCATGGAAGCCGGAACCATTGTTGGTACTAAGTTTCCACCGCTTTAGTGAATCCCCGGACTAAAATGATTTTCTAGACGTGGTTGGCGTTTGCAAGACAATATCGGAAGTGCAGAGTTTTATCGCGAAATCAACCAATCGGGAAATGAAGAAACGACAACTTGTTTTGGTTGATCAAACCAAAACAGCGGTAATTTTTCTGTTTTCGTGTTGTTCTAATTTTTATTTGTAATTTTGGACAGATTGCTTTGAATTTGTGGGGCTCCCAAGCGGAGTCGTTCACAGTCACTGGTAATCCGGTGGTTGTAGCAAAAAATGCAAAGATTTATGAATTCAGAGGCGTGAAAAGCATTACTTTAATGAGCAGTAGTTTGCTCAAAATAAATCCCGAAATTCTCGAAACTTACAGATTGAAACAATGGTACGATTCTGAAGGGTATCAAGTGGAAATTACAAACGTTAGCCAAAGGTTTACTTCAAGTTTATTTTACTTAAAAAATTTAACAAGTTTTGTTAGAATCGGAAATGGACAAACACCGTGGATGACGTTTAAAGAAGCGCGCCAACAAGCCCTTTCTGATAAGGCGCTCTATTATCAAACTTTTGGTACGATTTTGCTGGTTCGCCTCGACAGAGTCGTCTACAAGTCGTGTCCTAGTGACGATTGTCAGAAGAAAGTCCTCGATTTGCAAAATGGAATGTACAAATGCGAAAAATGTAACCGCGAGTTTCCAAATTTCAAGTACCGGTTGTTGGTTTCGGTAAAAAACACACATTGGGTTTCCCCCAGTAATTTTTTTATTCAGATGAATATAGCCGACTCTTCGGGTAGCCAATGGGTTACTGTTTTTTCCTCAGAAGCGGAAAAAATTTTAGGAAAAACAGCGCAAGAAATTGGGGAGTTGATGGACACGGATTCTGACATTGTGGCAAATATGTTCGAAGAAGTTCAATTTAAACAATATGTTTTCAAGTGTAGGGCAAAAATCGAAACTTATAATGTAAAATATCGCCGTTTTGGTTTGTTTTCTTAATGTGGTTTTGTAGGATGAACAGAAAATGAAAACAATTGTGGTGGGTGTTGCGCCAATGGACTTTGAGGAGTACAATGTTTATTTGCTGGACAGGATTGAAAAATTTAAGAGAGTTTCTTGTAATTGAGCCTTTGATTTTGTTATTTTTCAATGAGTAAATTTTAATTTTTTATTTTGGGGGATTTTTTAAGCACAGTTAGCGACATTGAACAAGTCTAGTGTTTTATTATTCAAAAAAAAAAAAACTGTTAAAAGGCAATTTTGAACGTCAGTTGAGAGTTTCTTTCAACTGAGCCACCTTTTATTTTTGTGATTTTTTGTTTGAGTAAATTTTTATGTTTATGTTGGGGGATTTTTTTAAGTACAGTTGGCGACATTGCTCGAGTCTGGTGTTTTATTATTGGCGGAAAGTCAAACGGTTAAAAGTCAAATTTGAACGTCATAACGGTCGAGTGAGGGTTTTTGTGTTCATTTTTATCTTTAAGTGGTAAAAACTTTACCTTTTGTGATATCATCGTAATGCAAGTGTTTATTTAACTAATAAAATGGATTTTAAAAACGAGACTCCTTCGAAATCAAAGAATTTGATGAACAAAGTATTAAGTAACCCAATGAACTGTGATAGCCCCTTCAGACTTCTCCCCAACATTTCCACGCCCCCTTCAAGGTTTGCAAAAATACTTAACCCTTTTGAGCCCCACTTAATAGACCGTATGCACCTTCCAACATTCAGGTGAGTCTGATTTTAACCGAAATCAAGTGTGACGATTTTTTCCAGTCCCAGTGTTTTCACCCAAGTCTCAACCCCAAAGACTGACAAATTCAAATGGACAATCGACGAAATTTCATCCCTCAAACCGGCCGACATCGACGAAGCAACAATCTCGCAACACGTCTCCTACCACGACCCCACAATCGAGTCCCTAGTGCAAGAAAAAATCGACAAGTTTTTCAAGGAAAAAGCGATAGTCCCTAGTCCCATCAACCAAGTCCAGCCACTCCCCCTCGCAATGTCGCCCCCACGTTCGCACACCTCCTCCCAAACCGTGCTAACCCTCCCCCCGGTTCTCCCAAAACACGTGGAGGAGATCCTCGCCCCCTATTTCTCGTACACTCCCGACGAGTTTGACCACGACTCGTCGCTCTATCGCAGATTATTCGAGTTTGAGGGGCACAGCAGCCCCGCCACGTCAAGTCCCGCGCCCTCCACGGGCCTCTCTCCTATCCAGTTCTCGCCGGAATTCAACCCTCACTCGCCCAAAACCAAGCTGGAGAGTACACTGGAAGTGCCCGAGTTGCGAGACTGCACTTTGTCGCCGATCGGGCGCTCCCCCTTGTCTCGGTCGGCGTGCAGACTCAGTTTTTCGGCCCATATGTCCGTGGATGCGAGCATGGTGGTGCCAGATGTGAACAAGAGTCTCCATGTCACCACTCTAGAACAGGAGACTTCGTTCCAGCCTTTGGAAGATGGGGGCCCCTGTGATTCGCTAGTTAATTGGGACATGGAGTATAAGCAAGTTTCGATTTTGTCGCGGTCGCCGGTCAGCAGCCCCGAAAGGATCGACTCTTCGAATAGTGATACGCCCCATTCCAGAATTTTCACTAGTCAGAGAAAAAGACTGTCGGATAGTTTTAAAGACGAAGAGTTTGACCGAGATGTTGAGATGGCTGAAGATGTCATAATGAAACGTGTGAAAAATAGACTGGGTGAAGATGTCACCGATGCAGGGTACCATACCGGGGGTGCCACTTTGTGTGAGAGTTCCACGCACATGTTTGCATCGACGCCCACTAAAAACAAGTACTGAACGAGAATAAGACCTGTTTTTTATAAATTAATTATTTTCTTAGCGTCAAGGTAAGTTTTAAACATTATGTATTTATGATTTAAAATGCTTGTGTTCGTTTTTACAAAACCAGAAATTATTTTTGTCATTTTTTGATTTGTAATGGACAAAACAAATATTTTGTTTATGTGCAATCGCCCCAATAAATATTATACAAGACATGGAAATAATAATAACAATTCGAATCCCTATTCCTTTTAATCTACCTGAAAAATTGTTTCAAACTTTTTAAGTGTTTCAGCTCTTTTTCATAGGAATAAATAAAAGCAAAATTATTACAGTGCGATCAAAAAAAAATAAATTAGAGTAGGCGGTGATTACAATCCTTCAGATGGCAATCCTGATTTTTGACTTCATAAATAATAAATGTGTACCCCATGTAGCAAAAAATAACTAAAATTAACAGGATAGCAAACAAAGATTTTTGTCATTATTGATGTGATTAAATTTGTTTTGAATGACATTAATGACGCTTTTTGTGTAAATAGGCCTTTAAATTAAAGATTTATTTAGACTTCTACAACCTACTTGATGCACATTAATATGAAAAAGAGTATACATTAACTTAACTTGTTAATTTATTTGTTGAATTTTGATTAAATACAGGTTATCTGTCAAACTGACATTTCGCAAGTCTATCCAACTTTGATTTCTAATTAAAAAAAAAAAACATTTAATTTAGCAGTTAATGATATTGGTATTGTTGGTTGCGGAAAAAAAATATCAGAAATAACCCTCTCGTGAATAACCCTGTATATTCATCTTATAATCCAATATCACCAAGAATTAGGTGTTGCCAACTTAATTTAAAAGTGACAGGTCACTGTGATCAGAAATTCATTTGAAGGCATGACGTTTAGATTTTCTACCAATTATTCACAGAAATTTTTAATTTGTTTCTATTAGAATGCAAAAAATCACTGCGCATTCCAGTACGGTTGTAACTGTTTAAACGTTTCAGCAAATCATTACTTTCTCAGGAATACATAAAAATAAAATAGTGCAATTAAAAAGTAATAAAATTTTGAAAAACATCTTGTGCGTTAAATCTGGACATTTCAGGGTAATAAGACGCGTAATCATATCACAAACTAATCAATTTGTTAATAATAAAGTCTGACATATCTTACAAAATAAAGCAACAATTAATATATTCTATATATAAATTACTTGACCTAAAACTGCTTTAAAACGGTTATGTTTGGGTTTTGGGAGGAGCTGTTGGTTGTTCACTGACGTCAATAACAGTCTGTTCGTTATTCTGCGCTTGCTGCGGGGCTGCACTGGTCGAGGGGCCGTGCATGAAATTGGGGGGCATCAAAACTTTGGGATTAGTCTTAGGTAAAAGCGGCTGCTTGTCTCCGTGCGATTTTGACAACCGTTCGCTGAGAGCCTTCAATGCGATTTGTCTGAAAGTAACAGTAAGTAAAAACGTGACAAAGGGGCTCCACGAACCGTCTGCGTTCCATATCGTGGTGGTCAGCCCCGGGCACTGACACAGTGACCCCCGTGGGATTCGACATGTCAAATCGCCTCACGACTTTTTTACATAAGCCCATTTTAACAAGGACACTGTGTATACTGTTACTAGCGACGGAAATCGGGGGTTGAATCACATTGGGGAAAAAACTGCAATTTTTTAGTTGAGTTGGTTGTGTTTTTTTCGTGTTACCAACCTGGCGAAAGTGAAATAATCGGCCATGTCGCCCCTCGAGCCGTTGTTGTGTTTCTGGTAGAACCTCAAATAGACCCAACTGACGAGCAATCCGCTCAAAAACATGGCAGGGTAGGTGCCATCAACCAGCCCCAACACCCACAAGATCAAAGAGAGGAAAAACACACTGAGGGGCACATTTCGGTTGCTCAACTTCCCCAAGGGTGTCTTAACAATGACCAAATCGGGCATTATCTGCTTGACAGCCACCGAGACCCCTGCTATGTACCCAGCCAAGCCATGGATGTGTACCGAGAACAAAACGTCGGTATTGAACGTACACGCGTACAGTATGAAGTAATAAAACGTCGTAATAACAGCCACACCGAAATTAACCACCGCGAAAAACGTCAACATCTCCATTTGGCCCCATAAGGGCTCGATCAGTTTACCGCACAGTCCGACGGTTACAATGTCCACAAGCACTTCCCAGAAGTGGATTTCTAAAAAACAGAACGTAAATGCTGTCCATAGCCAGAAAGAAGGGGGCATTAAATAGCCTGGTGTCACTGATATCACACGAACGGCCGCTTCCGAATACGACAGGCCGTAACTGAATAACACCACGGCGCAGATGAACTTCACTGAAGTGCTCGTGTTGCCCAATAAGGCACCGAATTGCTGCCGCAAATACGGCAGGTTACGACCCAGGGCTCCAAACACTGACATTGTCAAAGCATAGGTTATGTTGTTGTCACTGACATTTTGGCAATGCCGCCAACAAACAAAACCACAAGTTCCTACGCCATCCACAAATGGCCACAATTTAAAAAATTTAATTTCAAATTTCAACGGGAAAAAAACTAGAGTTTCAGTCAAATTTAACCAAAAACTCGTATACATTAACAATTTAATTACTGTTTATTATTATATGTATTATTATTGCTACCAACGCAAACCGCTATTAATTTTTGCAAAGTTTTAAATAAAATAAGTCTTGTAAATTTTTTTTAATAAAGCTTGACTCTTGAAAAGTAAATAGAAAGAAGGTGGCAAGTTATCATTTCGTTCCATTTACCAGGATTCCATACGGGAAACTTGCCTTTGAGCGGTTTCGGTGTCTTGCGTACGCTTTGAGTTCTGTTCTCCTGTCACCAACGGGGCGCTATAGTCTAGTTTCTGGTAATTCACGTCGAATTCCGCTCTCAACACCTCTTTGCATTTGTGTAATCCTGATCGAAGATTGCTTTAAAGTCTATTCTATGGCAATTTTCTGATTGATAATATGCGACGTTTTAGTCGCCCCAAGACCCCCCCACATGTTCATGCTCTCCTGATAATCTGCCACTTTGAATTGTTACCATTACCACACGGTTAAGTTTGTGTTTATTATTACGGATATTACGATCATTATTAATTATATTGATCCTTGGAAAAAAAAATTCGTAGTGGATAAACGACTCAATTATAGATGAAAAGACACAATTATTTATCCTTGATTAAAAATTGTTGAATCGAAATAATTCAGTTATTTATGGAAAGTTTGTGTTCCCATCTGAACAATTATTGTTATCACAAGATAACAAAACAAAATACGTCGTTAGTTGTACCTTAGATTCCGAACACAAATTTGCAAGTTGTGAATCAGTGGTTGTGTTATTAACAAGAAGAACAAAGTTCGGCATTGAAACGAGCACATTATAAAACCTGTCAGACTGCATCCAACATTTGTTACATAACTCTTGTCCTGTAAATAGTAAAAATGCTGTCCTTTTATGTGTTATTAACCGGCATATCCCTGATTTTGCTACTTCAAACTTGGCGTTTCTTCCGAAAATACCTCAGGAACAAGAAAGTTTTGAAGAAAATACATGGCCCCCCTGAGACACCCATTTTCGGGCACATATACATCTTCACACAAGACCCAGGTAAGCGCCCGAAATAATAAAACCAGGTTGTAATAACTTTTTAAGATTTGCTGTTAACAAGGATCCGAAAATACTCACGAGATTACTACCCAATTTTCCGCTTTTCGTTTCCCTACGCCGACATTGTGAATTTTCTCGATCCTAGCGACATTGAAGTGAGTACCAAAAATGTCCCACAATGATGTAACCATCTATTTCAGTTGATTTTATCGACCACCAAGCATTTGAGTAAGAGCAAAATCTACACTTTTTTGAACAATTGGCTCGGGACGGGTTTACTGACAAGCACTGGTACCAAATGGCACCAACGACGCAAAATCCTGACCCCTGCCTTCCACTTCAACATTTTGCAACAATTTCT